ATGTTCTCTCTTTTTCTCTCTCTATCGAGAATAAATTCGATAATAAGCTTCCGGACAGGATTTACCAATGTAAACCATTGGCCTTAGTCGGTTGTCGTTGGTAGCCGAAGCGAAAAGATTCTAGAGAAAGAGAGAGAGAGAGAGAGAGAGAGAGAGAGAGAGAGATGACGGATACCAGAGACCCATTGAAGTGACGTGTCTTTTGTGATTTTCTCATTACTGGAGTGGAAGGTCGATCCTGGAAGCCCATCTAGCTGCTGGAGCGACTTCCGTCCTTTCGCTCCTCTCTCCGATCCTTTTCCTCTTTTTCCCTTCATCTCTTTCGTCATCCGTTCCAGGCGCGAGCGTGCGCCTTAATGCCTCGCAGATAACTTGTAAAAGACTTCCTATATGACGTAATCGTATAAGTGGAATTACTTCTTTCATGCCGTCTTGTACGATTCGTAATTCGCGTGATCGCAGGATCTCCCTGCGTCTAACTTCCGATCAACGATAGATCGGAAAATTATATTTCCTCGCCGCAATCGCCTTATGACCGCCTATAAGTAAACTCCTATCGATCCCTCATTCCCGGCTATTACCTGTCCATTGTATTCCCTACACCTGTCTCCGTGCGGTCCGCTGAATGATTCCATCGTTGCCTTTTTTTCCGCGCGCTACATTGGTTTCGCGTGAGAGGCGAAGTCGGAAATGGGAAATTCGAAGCCGCAAAGGTCGGTCCAATCGAGACTCGATACTTAATTCCTGCTCGTTCCGCCAATCGGCTTCGTAAGAGTCTGTAAAAGATTAAAGAGCGAAGAATAGATTGCGTAATCAAAATTATACCCGCAAATAATATCTTGATAGTTGAGGATTTAAGAAATTGCTTGGCATTTGAAATTATTGAATCGTGCCAGTCGACATTTCGATCATTTATTTTGGACTTTTTTTTACTTATTTAATAGAGTACGAAATATTTAATTTGTATACTTAAATTATGTAAAAATAATAATTCTGGATTTAATTAGTATTTAAACATTCTTATAAAATATTAATTTTAAATATGAATATTCTAATATTCTTTTTATTTTATATAAAAAAGAGATGAATAAAATATACAATTAGCGGTATATTTGTCTAGTTCTCTTAAAAATAACTGCTTTCTTCATTTATTATGTTAAGAGAGATCCGAACAGTCGTGAGGAAAACTCGGATATTTTGAAAATTATGCTGAAATAATATATTTTTTGAAAATGTATAACTCTTGAAATGAAATGAAAATACTATTTTATGAATAAGTATAAAGAGATAATACGCGCATGAGTTCCAGTTCTTCCGCATACACGAAAATGATCACATAAACATCGTAGAAAATTACTTTTGCTATTCCTCAGAAAATTATATTCAATTTTATTCGTTATAATGAAACGTCTCGCAATAATTCAAATTATCAGCATTTTTGAGATCGCGTCTTTCACATTATTGTTAAATTATAAAAGTGTCGAGATTTCTTTCACATATTGAAACGTCGTAAACAAAATTCCATTTTATATTATTATTATAATAAAAATCCCGACCAAATAAAGCCGTCACACATTTTATTCGCATTTCGAGAGAAAAGCTCGGCGTGAATCGCTTATCAAGCCGACGACGAGTCGTACCTAACGCGAAACAAGTTTGCATCGAGTCGACGTCTTTCGCGTGACGTCAATTTGCGCCCTCGCGAAAGCGCCGAGTCGTTACGCGGCATTGTTCGCGCATTGTTGCCATGGCATGCGCCGACATTCTTCCCAGTGTCCATTGTCGAGCATAGTCGGGGCGAGTTTCCTTCGTGGGCGGAAGGGAGGAGAGTGTCGAAAGAGCTTTTGCGAAGCGGAAGAGTCGCGTCAGTTCGCTCTTCCACGGCTGATCCGCCCCGTCCGTCCCTCGACCGACATCAATTAGTATCACAAGGCGACCTATGTACACATCCTCCTGCGAATAGGTCACACTCGACGGAAACGCGCATTAACCCCCTTCGCGCGTAAATATACCAAGTGTCTCGAGCCGGACGCCGTGGATTTCTCGCAATTTCCGCGCGAGAAGATAGGTCGGTCGACCGTAGATCGGCGGCAACTTTCCAATTTTCAGCATTAAATAACTCTTCAAGTATGTCGGAAATTAAAATACTCCGTTAAAGTCTGCTTGGAATTAAACCAATTGCAAGTTCTGATGAAAGATAGTTTCAACGGAAGAATGAGAAGTATAGATTCTGTTATCTGTTTGCTCGGCTCAATTAACCGAAACATCCTTTATTTTCTCTTCGATTTACGCAGCGATATAGTACCTCGAAACTATTATTGGCAACACGAGACATTTTCACGCGTAACGCACACAAAACCGTCTTTGGCGCGCTCAATATACACCGCACCCACTCACACGTATCACGTGTGCGCATCGACGTAAGATCTATCGCGTATACTTACCTGTACATTGGCACAAGCGGATGGGTTGGATCCTACAAAGGCTTTCACGCAAACACGCACACCTGCGCGTTTGATTGCGTATGTGTGGATTGCTTACACGCGTTGCGTAAATACGCGTAAACACCGGCGTTTTCGTTGATTCCATTGACATCCCCTTCTTGGGGAGCGTTATCATCCATTTGATAATACAACAAGATAAATTGCTGTTCCCCTGTCACCTGACCTGACAGGTCTTTACCCTAAAACGCTCGTTGCGGAAGTCCTCGGGAGGACCAAGTATTTGTAGGATAAATAAACCGACGTTAAGAATATATGTACTGATAAATTTCCACGCACTGTGTGTCAGTCATTCCACGCTTTTTGTACTGTCTAGATCGTTAAATAACAAGTCATTTACTCCTACATAAATTTCATTTATAAAAGAAGAATATTCTGATAAAAAAGTGTCGTTGATTAGAACCTAATAGGACGTTGTATTTTCCCTTTAATGAACGGCAGATGGAATTCTCTTTCGTCCGAGATGGAATCAGCTTCGCGAGAAGGCGAGAAACGCAAGTTTCTCTCCCTTAAAAAAAAATTACCTCGCATCAATTAATTCTAATTCGATGCGCTGTAAACGTAGAAAAAGAATCCCGAGTCGATCGAGATTAACGTTAACGAACGTTGTTAGCGAGCGAGCGAGGCAAGATGATATCGATCGGCGATATCGGTCGATATTTCCTCGCTATCGGCACGCGACGCGCATAATTAAAAATTCCCGTCCCGTTTTGCACGTTTTGCTGCGTTTCGCTTACGATCGCAACGCGGTAGTTCCGCTTCTTATCGATTGCGCCTGCAGGAGCAGCTTCGTGCGGAGAGGCTTCGTGGAGGAAGAAAAAAAAAGAGAAAAAGCGGCCAATCGTCAAACTTGCGTGTCGAGAGCTGTAAAACGCTATCGATCCGTCCACGGTATTTATGTAAACATGCCCGAGTCCGGCGGGATTTCTTTCCATGCGACGCGTACCCCCTTCATCGGCGCGCGTTCTCGTCGATTTTTTTTCCCTCCTTTCGTTACCGCATTTATCATTCTTTACGATATCCTCGAGGTTTCGCACTTTTATTAGTTTTTGAAATTCCCGTGCAGTTTTATCTTTATATACGCGAGCTCGTAAACTTGTTTAATACACACTTACTGTTGCGCCACGCGATGCCAGGCGAGAAAAAAGAAACTTTTATAATTACAGGAATATTATTAAAAGAGATAGATGACATTTACGACATTTTGTTTTTCTTCTCTCGCGAAAATGAGATAAATCTCGCGCGCCGTAATATTTTTGCGCGATGCAGAAAGAATTCTCTCTGGTGACGCGACGTAGAAATAAGCGTCGAACGAGACGCGCGCGGGACAAATTTTCGTCAACGGAAAACGGGAAATTAGACTGTCCATTACGGTGCGATTCGAGGGAACCGTAGATACGCCATACGTGTGATTCGGTCGATAGGTAGATTCGCTTGTCGACGTGTTAATCTGGCTATTAGGCAGCGCGACCGAGATATCTCGCGAACTCGGAACGTATGTGCCAGATGGCACGATCGAGATAGCTCACCGGATGCATCGCATCGTCGATATTTGCTCCGAGTCTGTGCTTTTACCTCGCGAATTAATTTGCGACTAGGGCGAAACGATTTACTTGCGTGTAAATATTCCAACGGGCCTGCAGCAGAGATACTTGCGAGGTAAAAGTCGACAAGAAGTCTACGGGAGAATAAAAATTCCATTGATTTACGCTCAATAATTCTGCGTCAAACGTAATTGGATTTACCGTCGCGATGCCGCTTTGTTTCGCGCACAGAATGAAACTACTAAATATCGCTATGAAGTGATCAGAAACTGTATATAACTCGATAACTGTCATTAATCAAGTCGAGCGGGATGTTATTGTCGCTGTCGATGAGCAATCGCGAATTTGTCCGCAAAATCGCGCGTGCCGTTCGACGCGCCGCATAATTTCGAGAGAGCGAAATTGTGGCCCGATAAAGCCAGAAGGATAGAATTAACGTCGTAAATAAAGGAAGATTGGTAAATGGAACTCCTGCTCTAGAATGCACTCGATAAATATCGTTATAACTCGACTGTATACAATCAGTCCGAAACCGTCGACTTTGTTCACGCAGCGCGAATGAACCGAAGCTCGTAAAGTCGCCAAGTTGTGTATGTAATAATATCGAACGCTACTTTAATGCGCCAGTTAAATCGTTCGCTAACTTAGAAACAAAGTTTATCAATTGTTTCGCTTGCGTTTTAATTATATTATAATCTATACGATTTAGACGTTTACGCAATGCTTTTTTATTTTTTACGATTCTTATATACATCTGAATATAAATTTAATATATGGTAGTAAATTTCATAATAATAAATTTTTCAAAAAAAAATATATATAATATTTTTTATTATTTATATTTTTTAATATTTAAAATTATATTTGATGGCACATTTTTATTACTTAGAGCTTGAATCAGTCGCTTTGATTTTCGCAAAAGTACTAACCCCCTTCGCTTTTCTTTTGCTTCCAGGTGAGTGTCCAGGAATTCCAGTACGCACGCGGGACGGGCGCGTCCCTTACGATGGTAAGCCCTAAAGCAATGTATACCGTCGTTTTATCCGCACATTATCATCCAAAAGGCTCTTTCCCAGGACGATGTAGCTCGCGAAGATATGGGAAGAGGTCCTAATATCTCGCAGGCACACATCCGTCTTAATTAACGTCGCGATACATCTCGACTTCCTCCTGTGCCGCCACTTGCAGTATTCGGTTTAATATGTAGCCGGCTTTACCTTTGATAATCTCGTCGTAGGACAAAAATTACCGCGGAGAATTCAGCTCATTTCCGTTTGCGTTAATTATTGTTTTTACGATGGAAATATTATTCGGAAACTGTGAAAAATTACGAATATAAACGAGAGTATGCAACGCTTATTCTTAAGATAACTATTAATTATACATATATGTAAAATATTTCTGTCATATTTGTGCTTCGATTATTCTTAGAATTTTAAACTTGCATTCATCTTACAATTTGTCGCATTAATTATTCGCGAAATATTGTTGAATTCATACTTTATAGGATCTGCGATTCGCGCGCTCCGCTTGTGCACAATATACGCTACGTAATTTAGCAAATGTGATGTGGATTCGGTCGTTCAGCTCTATGGCGCATTAAATATAAATGGCAATTCCACCGGGACATATAATCACACGCGAATCAATCATTTCAGCATGATAATAAATATTGGCGTCGATGTTTTACGTATTGAAAACAACAGTTGGCCAATGCCAATATTTTCCATCGCTCATATAGCCTGTACATTAAGCTGATCTAATGCGTTATTGTAATGTGACTGCGGCTCCAATGCATTTATTCGCTGATGTCACGATGCTTTTATTAAGTACACCTCCCCAACACGCTAACATGACAAATTTGTCACTCGCGCGCCCCGTAATTTTCGTGAAACGCGCAAGATCCCGCGGCATTAATCAAACAAAGCGGCTTAATTAATTAAACTTTTACGGAAATAGCCGCGCCGCAAGACGACTGGCGTATCTGTTTCCGTTTCGCATCGTCCAAAGGTGGTCGTTGAATGAAAAATAAAATGAAAGACCGTTCTCCGCGTTAGCGTCTCTTTCTATGCATTTTCAAGAGTGCAATTTCGGTTATTGCGAGTGGATTTTCTGAACGAGTCGGTATAAGATCCTCTCTTAGCATACTTTTTTAATATTCCGCGAAATATCTCGCGACGAAAAGATGAAGCTTGAATTTTGCAGAAAATTGTCGAAATGTCGCGCGAGCTGCGAACGATATGCAAATTCCGAAACGGTGAAACGAAATTCGCACACGCCGTAATATCGACGATTACAATCGTTCTCAGGAAGAGAGATCGAGCCCCTGTTCGATCGTGGTCTCCGTCCGCGGTCTTTACCGTCGAGTTCCGGTGAAATAAGAGACGTCCCACCAGGCGACAGTGACGAATGTATTTGTATACCGTCAGCCTGGTCGTCGGGGTGTCACACGAGAACGCGTAAAGTGTCGCGAGGGGGTTGAAACGATGCTTGGAGCGCGCTGGTTATGACATACACGTCAAACAAGGGAATTTACGTTAATATCGAGAGGGAGAGAATTAGGTTTTTCGGGGACACGTGGATTTAATTTTTTATTTTCTCTACCCTTATATTATATTTGCGAGACACTTTAAAAGTTGCTTTCAGTTATAGGCCGATCTCTTCTTCCTCCTTTTAATATTTTTGTATTTAAAATACTTTATCGCGTTTAAACATTGCCATAAGCCCTCGTGAAATGCTTCTGCATATTTATACAGAGCAAACAAATTGTAAAAGAAATAAGATATATCGCTTTTATTTTTATTGTGGGAAAATGTAATTATTAATGACATATCGATTATTTAGCGTATTTCGACGCGCGTGCGACCATAAAAGATTTTATCGCTCGATTTTTTACACCATTGGCATGTTTTATTCGAGCGAATCAATCTCTCTCTCTCTTTTTCGCGTGTCACGGATGCTGATTTAAAAAAAAACTGTGATTAATCAAGTTCGAAAAGAATAAAGCAGAAAAAAGGAAGAAAAAATTAAAATACATTAGATCAATTCTACGCTTTTTAGTTTCCAATATTTCAAAGTTTTTAGTAGAAACTTTAAAATTCATATCGTTTCCAGACGGTTTCATGTTTTTCACCGTATCATTGCGTATACGATACATTACGCAATAGGCTTAACGATCGCGATTGTTTAAAAAAAAAAAAAAAAAAATACAGCTCCGCGACTCACGACGTCGTGACACGTCGTCGGCTTATCTTTATTCCGCGCGTAAAACCCTCTCCCCCCCTTTGCCGGGGTAAGCGCAGGTCTTATCACAGCCATGCGTGCCTCCGGGTATCGTTAGAGCGCAACATGCTCCCGGCGAACTGACGAACAAAGCTGACCATTAGCATTTGTTCCCTCATTACGGGATTCAGCGCTCTTTCTCCCCATCTCATTACCGGAAGTTCCTTCGTGTTTCGCAAATAACTTCGGGCGTTTCCTTGCTGTGACATGTTTTCGTTCGTCTTTTTTTTTTATTTTATCTCGTCGATATTATTTGTCGTTAATTTCTTGAATCTCTACTCACCATATCGAGAGGAAAATCTTAATTTTCCTACTTAATCTTGTATTAAAAGGAAATAAGAGAGATTCAGAATTCCTGCCAACTCAACAATGATTACAAATTTTAGTGCGTATTACAAATGAAGTGTTTAACATTTCAAATGCAGTTTACGGCAATAGTAATTATTCACCGATATGAATCATTAATAATATTGGTTAAAATCCGAATCAGGCCATTGGATAATCTGAATTAATATTTCCAGTTGACAGCGACACGTTCGCACAATCCTGATAGAATATTCACGCGATAACTCCCGTCCCCGAAATTCATATCTGATTGCGAGAAGAGTACGCTCATCTTCGGGCCATTTCTTGCACGAGAAGGCTTCGCAAAGTGTTTCCTTTGTGAAGCCGAGCCCTCCTTCTCCCGGGACTTTCGTCTTTGTGTCGCGAGCTTACGTTGTTCGTCGGGACATCAAAGCGGAGCGGTTTCTCGCCCTCGCGATTTCCTGGCCGACGAATTTCCAAGGATGTGACGTGCCGAAGACCGTTCCTTCGGGCGAATCTTTGACACTCGGAGCCCTTTAACCGACTCGTTACTTTAATGCGATTAAAACAGCTTCCGTAAAATAACTTTGTTTTATAAGTTATGTCCATTAGCAGAAGAAATAGAAATTAGCAGTATTTATCTAAACTCGGAAGCAAATCAGATATTAGTGTTATGCATAATCGATAGTATCTGAAATGTTCTCATTCACTGCTTCGCAATTCTGCTTGTGATACGATTGCGAGCGATTTAAATCATTCTTAATCTTGAGGCGTGGGAAGGATTCATTGAAAAATTCTCATTTATATTTTCCGCTTTTAAATTATTTTTGAAATATATATAATATAAATATAATAATAATTATATATAATAATAATTATATATCATAATAATTATATATATAATAAATATATATAATAATAATTCCAAAGTTCGCCTTTTTAAAAATATTCAAATGAAATGTGTTGAAATTGTATATTTTATTTTATTTTAATTTTCGCATTTATTCGTGGCGAGATCGCGCATCCCCTTAGTTTGTCATCTCCGTTTGTCGCGAAATATCGCGGATGCAAAACGCGCATGATGGATTACTCCCACTCGCACACCGGTTGCCGCCGCCATTGAGCGGCTCAGCCACGAATATGTCACATCGTTGCGAAAATAGATTCCGTGCGATTCACCGCACGGAAATACCATTCGTATGTCAGCATCGGAAGCGCATTGGGAGCACCGGAAGTGGGAGGGTAGGGCGAAAGCGGGAGATCAGGAACCGTCGTCTTGGAACTGTCGATGTAAAGATCGATGTAGAATACTCGCCGACAGTAAGCCTGGAAATCAATATTAGATTACTCGTAGTTGCAATTTAAAAGATTAAAAAAAGAACCTCGCATATTTAAAAAACTTGCATTATTTTTTTGAAAGACGCTAAAAATTAATTCTAGAGTAAGTGTAATTGAGATGATAGGTAAGATTTCGAGATTACGGAACGTTTGTAACGTAAACAATCGGAAAGGTAACATTTGCCGGAGAAAATGTCTCGAAATATTTAACGAGAAATTTAACTGCGAACCTGGTTTTCGCATTGACGTTTCTACGGGTATCTCGCGTATATGCGTACGTATCGCTCCGAATCTCCTTCGTATCTCAGTGAATCGAGGGGTGTGACTCGATCTTTCGGGCGACACGACTCAATTACCATCTCTGTGACGCGTGAAAATACCTCGCCTCTTCCGTCCTTTCCACCTGCTCGCTTTTCCAATCCACGCGAAGCCACGAGTACGCCCTATTACGCTCGTTGCATTCGCTCAGAGTGCTTCGTTGATTCGCATTTTTCACTATCAAGGAATCAAAGCTTCCCCCGTTGCTTTCCACGCCCGACGGCTGATCCGGCTCTCTTCCTTTGTAACGCAAATTAACAATCGGTGTGATTTATGGTTATCGTTTGGTACTTTTATACGGAGCTCGACACACGCGCGCGTAAACGTTAGCGCTAAATTAATGTTTTCTCCATTGTAATGCGAGCCAACAAGTCGTGATTTATCGTTAACGTCCATCGCTTCTACAGATAATTTGACGTAGCCGTATTTGCGTAATACGGCTTCACTATTTTCCCCTTTGTAACGTAAATTAACAACGTTATTAATTATTACCCGCATTGCATTAATGACAATATTAGTACGTTTCAATCTGCAATTATTATTATGGCTAAACTGTCACAAATATTACGTTATTTTTATAAAGCGCGGATCGATATTAGCGAAATTAATTTTATCGAAAGCTCGTTTTTATTCTCTTTTGTGCGCGAGACAGTTTCATGAAACTTTGATAATTTCATTCGACGAATAAAAAAAAGCTAAATATTAATTGTGATATATTGGAAAAATAGTGGTTATGATTGCTTGCTAAAAAGACTATCATATTTT